CGAGTAAGCTGGGATTACAGACACCCAACCCCCACATCCAGCTAATTTTTTTGTATTTTAGTAGGATGGGGTTTTACCATCGTTGGCCAGGCTGGTCTTGAAGTCCCTGACCTCAGGTTGATCCCCCAGCTTGGGCCCCCCAAAGTGCAGGGGATTATAGGGAGGTGACTTGCACCCCAGCCCTCTGTTCATATCGTTATAGAAACTGACCAACCTGGCCCCTCCCTTAGAAGGCAAAGGGGCTTTGCAGCATTGTTACATGCAACGGCCAAATACATAGTAATACGTTCCCACCCAGCTATTAACAGGACAGGTGAGAGCAAGTGGGGAGTCCTTACGAACCAAAAAGAAGAGTCTCTGGTGTGGAGAAGGCAACATCAGATACTCCTAACGGGCCCTAGAAGACTTTCAAAGTCCAGAATCTGGAAAAAAAATAATAATATATTATAATAAAAAAAAACAAAAATTTGTAAGGTGGCTGGCTGAGGTTGAGCGCGACCTGCCATTCACACGGCCCTCATGCACTCCAAGTCCACTTGCACGAGTGGTAGGAGTCTGACTCCTCTCTGACGAGACGTAAATGCTCACCAAGGTTTTCCCCTGCCCCTTTCCTGGGTTGCCCTGGGAAGATCACATTTGCTGCCTCTTGAATGAGTTGTGTTCAAGGGGCTTCGAGCAATGATGTGCGAGGCAGAATAAGATGGAGAATCTTCACAAACCACATCAAGTTGATGTGATGGGGGTCACCTCAGGGTGGAGGCATTTGAGGGTCATTGTGCAATTCTGCACACTCTTCCCCCCAAGCCAAGTCACAACCATGAAGAGTTTGGTTTTTTTTTTTTTTCAGACGAAGTCTTGCTCTGTTGCCAGGCTGGAGGGCAGTGACGCGATCCCAGCTCATTGCAACCTCCGCCTCCTGGGTTCCAGCAATTCTCCTGCCTCCACCTCCCGAGTAGCTGGAATTATAGGTGCACACCACCATGCTCAGCTAATTTTTGTATTTTTAGCAGAGATGGGGTTTCGTCATGTTGGCCAGGATGGTCTCGATCTCTCGACCAAAGAGGTTCTTATGTTGATAAATTCTAACGGTGGAGCTAAATGATCAAAGCAGCATACAATGAGGAGCCAGATCATGGTGGGATTTGAAATGAGGAATGAACATTTGCATCTTAAGCCAATGTGATTTGGAGGTCTTTGTTGTAGCATTCATTACCTATCTGGTCCTGACTGATACAATTGGGCATTGGAAAAACTATAGAGTTCTACTTTGTCAATAAAGTCCGTGAACTTGAACATGTCCTTTAATTTCTCTGAGCATAAATTTGTCTTTGCATGTTGCTTGACATTATTGGAGAGAAGAGCATTAGGTAACTCTTACCAGAAGAGAATTTTTTTTTTTTTTTTTTTTTTTTTAAATACGAAGGTGTCAGAGACTGGCCAGATGCTCACCAGTACCAGTACTCACTGGTCCCGCACTCAAGAAAACTACATTTCCCAGCATGCCTTACAGTTGGGTTGGGACCATGTGACTGAGTTCTGGCTGATGGATGTGGGCAGAATCATATCCTCGCCTTCTGGGCCAGTCATAAAACATTCCATGTGTGATCTTTCTTGCTTCCTCTTCTCTTTGTCATTGGTGAAGTTAAAAACAAAGAACTCAGTGATGATGGAGCATACAATAACAGGAGTCCAATCCTTGAATCAGCATAGTAGGATAAACCTAGAGGAGTTCTGTCCCTGAAAATCATACACAACATAGCCTCATCTACTCTAAATAGTACTCTATGTAAGAAATGTGTCAAGCCAGTGGTCCCAGAGTTCAGAGAAGGTAGGATGGGTGGTTCTGTGAGCCACCACCGTAATCTAAGTACCTGACACCTATAACCAATATTCCAAGCTTCTGGCTGTTACTTAATTGATGATGACTGAACTCAACTGAGTGGGTACCAACTTTGAGCAAGCTACTCTAAGATGGAGAATCTTCACAAACCACATCAAGTTCATTTCTGTGTGCCTGCTGTGCCTTGTGTTTGAGGAGCATCTCTGCTTCTCTGGTCTGTGCCCTGAGGGCGGAGACTCTCTGCTCCTGGGGAGGGGTCTTTCCATCATCAACAACGAGCTGAAACAGCAGGGGGGCTGGGGCCCTCCCTCCTGGCCACCCTATAGCCGTCATCTACATATGCAATCCTCTTTTGCTCCTCCGTGTTGTGTCTGGACACTGTGTTTAACAACAATAGTGAATAGCATTAAAATAAAATAATAGTATTAAAATATAAAATTAAAATAACAGTATTAACATTTTTTTTTGAGATGGAGTTTTGCTCTTGCCACCCAAGCTGGAGTGCAATGGCATGGTCTTGGCTCACTGCAAGCTCCGCCTCCCTGGTTCAAGCGATTCTCCTGCCTCAGCCTCCCTAGTAGCTGGGATTACAGGCACCCGCAAGCACGCCAACTAATTTTTGTATTTTTAGTAGAGACAGGGTTTCACCATGTTGGCCAGGCTGGTCTCAAACTCCTGACCTTGTGCGATCTGCCCACCTCGGCCTCCCAAAGTGCTGGGATTACAGGTGTGAGCCACGGTGCCAACCATATGAAACAATATTTTAAAGGCCATGGTATTTAATCATGTTCTAGATTTATCCTTAAGTATCCTGGGGTTGGGGGTGATGCCTGTTATGAAGGAAAGTTTAAATACTTTAATTCGGGTTTTGAAATTCAAATTCAAGATATGCTGGATATGTTCCATCTGAGATTTCAATCACATGTGTCTAAATTCGAAACCTTTGTTAGTTCCAATATGTCATGCTTTAGTTGAAACAGCATTCTCCTTTTAGCTTAATAGGTGCCGGACATTGTGGTAGGTGCTTTACACAGTGAAACAGATACTGCTAACCCCCAAAAACATCCTTTCCAAGTGGCATAGTCAGTCTTTGAACTCTGAGTTCAGGGTTTGATTTTAACTATTTTGTACTACTATCCGCTTTTCCATTGTCCTGATTTTACACCCGTCAGAGGGTTGATGAAAACTACCAGGACTGGGGGAGTTATCTCCTTCTACAAACTAATCCCCATCTCCACAGCACAGGAGATGCCAGCATCCAGGGTAAAGCAAGATGCTGAGAGGGAGGGAAGGAATGAAAGGATGGATGAAACAGACAAGCAACCAGAAGTGCTTGAATCCACATTTGTTATACTTTTGCTAGAGTAGAACTCAAGAATAATGAAGCATGCCTCTCATCAGGTTTATTGTAGAATAAGTAATTTAGTAAACCCAAAATAAAGCTGCTGAAAGATGACTTTAAAGCCGTTTGTTTCATGGAGCATAAAGGGTGATTTTGGTGCAAGCATTACAACAGTTACCCTGAAGCAATTATAGATGTAAGTGACCTCGGAGAGACTCAGAGTTAGCAACGGACCTTGCCCAAGAAGCTTGAGGTGGGGAAGGGGCACAGGCTATTCTTTATTTCAACAATGCCTCTTTTGCCCTTTACATAGTAGAGGAGAAAGAAATGCTTCCAGGGCTACTTCTCACAACTGTGGCTGCATTTACATGCTTGCAATGGTGGGCGCTATTAAAGCGGACAATAGAGTGCTACTACGCAGCTGCAGTGTGCGAGAAAGGAGCTCTATGTTGATTTCCTTTGCAGGAAGGATGCTGAGTCAAAGACCTAATAATTCTGACCTCTACCAGGTATTGCCTCCATCTCCGCACCAGTCCTGGACAAAGTGCTTCCCAGGCTTGATTTCATGAGAGCCTCCCAACCACCCTCTAGAGTGGTTTCATCTTCCTACGTGCTTTCCGTTTTCCCCATCCTACAGGTGACACACGGTAAGGAACTCACCTCAAGGCTCATAGTTAATAAGAGGCAGAGCCAGGATTTGAACCCACACCATTTGGCTCCTGAGCCTGCACACAGAACTACGGCACCGCCCACCCGGAACTGTGCACCAACAGCCTGAGCTGTACAGACCCTAAGCTGCCGCCCCCTCTGGCTTATCCCAGCAGCCTGTCTGACGCCCAGCTTAGCCTCCATGTGCCATTTGTATCCCCATGGGAAGATCAGGGTAGCCACCAACAGGGTAGCTCCTGGCAGCAACTCAAGAAAGGTGCAGGAGCTAACAGGCTGTGGCGACCAGCAGGCCCCATGCCATGCCCCTCGGCCCCTGTTTCAGTTGCTGCTGTGTCTGGCACGACTTGCCATGCCGCCAGTGGTGCCACTCCAAGTGCCCTCTGCATCTTTCACTCCTTTTAGCCCCAGGTCTTTCTTCAACGCCCCCAGAGCTCACTCAGCCCAACAAGACAGCCCTGAAGTGGAGAGAGAGAAGGAGAGGGAGCCCTCCACCAGAAAGGGTTGGGAGTCGGTGACTAGAAGGAAATAGAAGGAAACCCTGAGGCACATCTATAATTTCCTTAGCAGGACCGAGCCCCAGTTAGCCACGGGTCAGGCAGTTCAGCAACATCTGCCCACCATGTGAATTTTTCCATCCCCCTTGTCTCTCCCGACTTCTTTCTCTTGCTTCCTGGAGTTACCTAACAAATAAACTACCCGTGCACAAGTTCTTGTTTTCTGTGGAGGAAACCAAACTCAGGTCTGCAGGCACTCCTGGACAATAGCAGTACTGGCAGAAATAACCAAGTCACTAGAACGGGCTCCGAGTGGCTCCCTGGGTGCCTGCATCCACTCAGACACCTCGATGGCCCCGCTTGCCCCTCTGCTGGATGGCAGTCAGGCTCTCTGGAAGTAGAAGCTGCTTTGGAGTTTGGAGGACAAGATGGGTTCTACAGATGGATACCTGTTTTCAAAAGGAGAGGACAAAGCAGGATTGGGAGAAAAAGTCCAAATGCAACGCAGGCCCTACCAAGCCAGCAGGGAGGGTCTGGAGCACAAATCACCCTCAGTGTCATCCTGGATGGGGCCAAAATGGCCAAACGGCTGGGCCTTTATACCCTCTCCTTGCTAGGTAACTGACTGCAAGCTGCCCAAGCAGGGCGAGACCCCAGATGGCTCTCTGCAAGCTCTTTCCTGAGGGGACCTGGGCGGCACAGCTGTGTCTAGTGCACTGTAGGACAATGCTGTTTGCTGGTGGACGCGTCTGTGCCCTGCTCTGCTGTTGAGGGTGGAGACCGGATGTTTTGTCTTCAACAACTGGAACATCCCCTAGCGTGAGTGAACAGCCAATAGGGGTCAGATGATTTAATACCTAGCATTAACAATGGAAAAGTCTGGCCAGGCGCGGGGGCTCATGCCTGTAATCCCAGCACTTTGGGAGGCTGAAGCTGGTAGATCACAATGTCAGGAGTGCAAGATCAACCTGGCCAAGATGGTGAAACCACGTCTCTACCAAAAATACAAAAAATTAGGCGGGTGTGGTGATGGGCGCCTGTAATCCCAGCTACTCTGGAGGAGGCTAAGGCAGAGAATTGCTTGAACCCGGGAGGTGGAGGTTGCAGTGAGCTGAGATCGTGCCACTTTTTTTTTTTTGACAGTCTCAAAATAATAATAATAATAATAATAATGATAATAATAGTAATAGTAATAATAATGGAAAAGTCCCCAAAACAAGCTTCATTCTACAGGAAGAAAATATTGGAGCCCAGAAGGATTAAGGAACCTGCCTGAGGTCACACAGCTAGGAAGGGCAATGCAGCATCTAAAGTACTTCTTTGGCCCCCAAGTCCTTAATCCTTCCTCTGCTCTCAGAAACCAACCTGAACCACTAGTATTAAACATGTTCTCATTTTGATTCTCTGCTGGATACCTGCAGTCTGCCAGATTTCCAGCCATATTAAAAACAATAATAAAAAAAATCCAGACCCATTAATCAGCTGTGTTCCCCAGGGCTTGGAAGGACACAGTTTCAATGCTCTGCACCCAGTCAGGAGGGAGGAGGCTGAGCTGTCACCGTGCAACTTTCAAGAACTATGGTGACTGGAGGGAGCCAATCACCACAGTTCTTAAAAGTTGATCCCAAGCTCTGGTTTTTAAAAAGACTGTTTAGATCAAGCTTATGCCTCTGGCTTGATGAAATGATCAGCCCATACAATTCCTAAGCAACCCTCGCCACTCTGGGGAGTCACATTCAAAGGCAGGAAGGTCCTTTGGGACAAAACTATAGTAAAGACAGGGACACCCAAGGAACAAAAAGGGTTACAAATTTATCTGCCTGCCGTGCTCCATGGTGGGCTCCAAGAGGCCTGCTCTTGTTCTTGCTAAGACCAGAGGGACGTGCCATGTTACCTTGACCATTTAGAGATGGAAACCACACTGCGATTAGAGACCTGGTCTCTCACAGATTCTGTCCAGCCCCAACCCCAAACACTGACTGATCAAGCCACCAGCTGCCATTCCAGGGGAGTCAGATGACGAGTTCCTAAGTTTGGCCATCTGCAGGATGTAAGAAGAATAGAAGGAAGCTGGGCTTTGGCGGCCTGTGTTTATAATTAGCAGTGTAATGGTTTCAGGGCACTCGCTGAACGGGGCGTGCGTATTCCTGCTGCATCACTGTATTGCGACCAGGGCGCCTGATTATTACAGATGTGTGTAGGAGCCAAGCACCCACTCCTATGAGGAAAGCTCCATAGGTGTCCTATTTAAGTCATGTCCATCAGGTTCAGTGGAGTTACCATAATAGGCAGGCAGAAAAGCCCTTAGTCCAAGGCATGAAGGGGCCTGGGTGTATTTACAGCACTCCCATCTCAGGTCCCTTATTATTAATATTTACTCTGTGCCACTGCTTGGACCCCATTTCCCTGAAATATTTCTGAATCAATGAAAAACAAAAAGTTAGAGCACAGCTGGGTTCTTTGACCTCCCTGGAAAGCAACTCCCAGAAAAGCCTCCACCGTCTCCCATTCCAGCGTGCAGGAGCCACGGTGCTGTGCTGGTCAGGACTCTACACACAGGTGCTGAGGAAGATGCGACTGTCAACGAGGCTGCTACCCTCCAAGTGAGGGTGGTCCCCCACCACAGCAAGCCATGGCCCCTCATCTGCCTGGCTGACCCTGTGCCCTTTCTCACTTGTGTGGTCTCTTAGGTGGATTTCCAGGCAGTGTGGGGTATGGGCTCCACCGGAGGAGCACACTGGCTGCTGAGAACACCTTTTCAGGAAGCATCCATCTAGATGTGGGGACAGAGGGCATGAGGGCCGCAGGCAAACATGGGCTTGCACACAAACGCAGGTTGCCTTCTTCTTTTATCTGCAAGACACAAGGAAATGATCAGGAAGGTCAGAGGGCTCTGGGGACTCAGGATACTGAGGATGGGCGAGACACAAAAGGAGGGTGTTGAAAGGAACTCAAGCTATTAAAGACCCATCCACTTCCCCTCCCCAGCCAGGTGTCTGACTCACTGAAGACTCACAACCTGAGGACCCAGCCCGAGTCCATACTCTGCCCTGAGCTGCTCTCCTCCCTTTCCTCTTCCTCTGCCACAGCTTCCCCCGCCATCCCTCCCTCCCTGGCCTTATCAATGACATGTAAATATCACTCTGATGACTTTCCCGGTGTAAACGGTTACCAGCATATTCTGCAAAGGATTCAATTAAAATGGAACCAGAGATCAGAGAGGCCTGGGAAGATGGGGAGCTACTGCCAAGTTCTTCTGACTAGGGGAAAGCAGCATTCCCCACCTGTGCCACCCAGAAACGGTGGCTGGCCTGGTGACAGCAGCCAGGGTAGCTTGAGCAGGACACAGTAACCACCCTCAGAAACCCCCTGGCGCTGTTGCTGGTGGGAGAGTGTCTAAGAAGAGCAGGAAAGTCATCTGCTTTCAGGAGAAGACGTCATTTTCTCCCAGCTGCTGATGGGAGGGGGCGGGGGAGGGACTCACAAAAGCAGGCACAGCCAGATATGGCCAGCGTTTTGAACAAATATCTTATGCCTTGTTTAAATCAGAGACAGTGGCAGATAAAGATGTATTTCATCCAGCTATTTGCTCAGGCTTTAGCCCTAATTCTATCGCAAACAATGTTCATTGTTTAATGTCTTTATATTCAGAAGTTGTTCCCATGCATATCTGCAAGGGAAGAAGCAGAATGCTGATAGCATTTGTGAGCTGTGCTGGCCTGGCAGGTTTCAGGAAGAAGAATGAGATCAACGCTGGAGTGGGAGGGCCCCACTCAGGGACCGGATTCTGTGCAGAGGCCAGACCTCAAGTGACACGGACAGCTCCACGCTGCCTGCCCCTAGGTCCCACAGAGCAGAGACCGAGCAGCTAGGACCACAGAGGCCTCTTCCGGAGCCAAGTCCTGGCAGGGAGGCCAGGTGGAGGAAGAGGAAGGGGCGCGGCTTCCTGTCTGTGTGTGATTCCTCCAAAGTAGGGCCCCGGCCTGGGCAGGAAAAAGATGGCCTTCTCTGATAGGAATGCTATTTAATTGTTTGAAACAATAGATCAGGGTCTTGGTAAAGGCATTATTTAAACTCAAATGTTTTGCCGAGTTATGAAAAAGGTTATTATGTGATCTTGATCCGATTAGGGTGGAATGGAGCTAAATGATGGATGAAGCAATTGCTTTTTTGAAATACCAAAATTACAACAAGGTCGGGCTTAATCTTTGCAGCTATTCACTGAGATTTCTGAAACAGTTCAGGGTAGAGTGCAAATAGTATATTAAGAAGAAAAGAATAAAATATATTTGCAGTGGAACCTTATTGCTACCTATCCAAGATGGGGTGCACTCAGGAGGCCCTTGGGCAGCTGGCCCAGGTGTGAGAGAGAGAAGCATGGCCTGTGGTGAAGCCCAGAGGAGAGCAATGGAGGCAAATGTGGGAGACAGAATGTGGCACTGGACGTGGCCCAGGAATCAGGCCTCTCCTTAAGTCTCCAGACGAGGAAACAGAGGTAAAGTATCTTGCTGCAAGGCCGTCGATATATTGGTGGCACCACCAGTCCCAGGCCCAGTTCTTCTAACTCCTAGTACGGGGATCACAGAGAATTGGGCAGAGCACCGGAGGCTCCTGGAGTGGGGCTCCATTCCCAGGGTGGTGCCAGGTGGGTGAGGCCTAGCTTGGAGACAGAGAGAGAGACAGGCAGAAACTAAATTAGTGATGAGATTCAAAAGGTTAGATTGGTGATAAAAGAAGATTGAACGCAAGAATGCAGGGAGGAAGGAAGGAAGAGAGGTGAGGTCAGAGAGAATGCAGGGCTAGAAGACATGTGCCAGCAGCATGAGGGTTAACGGTGGGTTCCTAGGGTGACAGTCACAGGTCCTAGATACTCTCCCACCATGGTATGGCCACGGTGATGCCACTGTGCCCCTTAGAAATTTGAAAGTAAGGCTGGGTGCGGTGGCTCATGCCAGAAATCCCAGCACTTTGGGAGGCTGAGGCGGGTGGATCACCTGAGGTCAGGAGTTTGAGACCAGCCTGGCCAACATGGTGAAACCCCATCTCTATTAAGAATACAAAAGTTAGCCAGGCCCAGCGCAGTGTGGTGCACACCGTGCAATCCTCCTAAACTAAACGGGAGGCTGAGGGCAGCGACTCGCTTGGCCCCGCTGGGGCACGGCTCGGCGCGTCGCACGCTGAGCCCCTCGTGCACTGCACTCCAGCCTGGGTACAAAGTTGGAATCCGTATCAAAACAACCAAAAAAAAAAACAAAACAAGAACAAAAGAACCAAGCCCCAGAAAAATCTAGAGTGAACAGCCCTCACTTACTCCCTTACAACAGCCCTTTACGGAACGTGAAGGAACCTGCAGACTTATTACAAGTACGAAAAGAACGAATAACATGCCTGCTATCACATTCGGGCACACTCTTTGGCACTCTCTCTCCACCCACCACCGGCCGGGGAGAAAACGCCGAGATCCTGCAAGAGGTCGCGTATCGCCTCATTTCGTTTTTGTCCTCTCTAACTAACTGCATTTCCTCCACGTTCCTACCAAACGAGCTGCGTTCAAGGAAGTTACCACTGAGCTGTTCCCCTCTACGGACATTTCTCTTCTTTTCTCTTTCTTCTTTCTTCTTTTTTTTTTTTTTCTTTCTGCTACGCGCCTCCCCACTCTGCACCCAGCGCTCGGCGGTCGCTGGCACGATCCTTGGCCTCCTGCAACCCCTCCGGTC